AATGCTTTCTAATACATTTTATTGACTCTTCTTAGTTAAAATAGCTGACTCTACGCAAACTTAAAATGTAGGAGATTCTGAAAGCTGGTATTGTTTTAAGAACTTTCTAATGTAAAGTAGGATTTTGCTTTTGGTAGCATGTTTGCATATCTTTCAATATTTGATGTTTGTTAAGCTCTACTGAGAACAATCAAAAATCGATAAAGAATGATGAGAAATGAGTGGGTACCTGCCCCTTCCCTGTTTATCAAGATAACAGGAAAGAAATTTATCATGTGATCAGTTTCTTGGCTTTGAATTGTTGTGAGGACATGATTTTTAATGCTTATTACTTAGACCTGTAGTTTTGAACTGACAGCACTTTACATATATTGACCTAGGGGCCAGCATTGTAGCACAGCTGGTTAAGCCATCATCTGTGATACCAGCATTCCATGTGGCCGCTGGGTCAAATTCCAGCTACCCCACTTTGATCAGCTCCCTGTTAACAGACCTAGGAAGGCAGCAGAGGGTGACCCAGGTATTTGGGTCTCTGCCACCCATATATGAGACCCAGAAAGTGTTCCAGGCTCCTGGCTTTGGCCTGGCTTAGCCCTAGCAGATGTGGCCATTTGGAGAGTGAACCAATGGATTTAAGATCTTTCTCTCTGTCTCTGTAACTCTGCCTTTCAAATAAATAAATGAATATCTTTAAAAAAAATATGAATCTAGGCCTGGGCCCCATTCTTGAGAGATTATTATTTAATTGTTTTGAGGCTGAACTTGGACATAGCTGCTTTTTTAAAGCATCATCTTCCTTCCCTTCCTTTCTCTAACGTGCAGGCACGGTTGAAAACCACTAGACTAATGGTAGTTTTTCCTGCTTAAAGGAAAAAACTACTTTGAGATAGAGCAAAGCTTCTTCAATTAAGTTTATTTTATTTTGCTTTCCATGGTTTTTGTCGCAAATTATTGTGTTGTTACTACCATTTCGCTGTTAAAGAAATAAAGTAAACAGTTTGTGTTTATGTTATGTATCAGTGATTAAGTTAATTAACTTTTGTACTGCCTTTGGAATGTTAGCTTTGTTTAAGTCAAATAGAAAGCCAACTTGTTTGTGTGTGCATGTTTTTCATTGTTGATGACATCAGCCCAAAATTCAGAAAAGATGGTAGATGCCTATGAGAGAGAGATTAAAAAATAAAATCCTTGACATTTTGTGTCTATTGCAGAATTAAAGTATTATTGATAGTAATACTCTGCAAGACAAACTGTATAGCATTGTGATCAGATACACTTCAAAGTCTTGTATTGCTCCCTCTTACCTATATAACATTAAGCAAGTTATTTTTTCATCTTCAAACCTTAGATTTCCCACTTTGTAAAATGAGAAACAATAAATAGTTACCTACCTCAGACACTATGTTTACTATCAAACAATGTTCTAAGTATTTCACATGTATCTTGTTTAATTCTTATAACTTTATCTTAAGGTAGATTCATTAGAATAAGCATAATTCCATAATAATAAACTTAAAAAAAAAAACTGACCACATTGTTAAAATAGCACTAATGATTAACGGATGCCCTAGAGCAATAAACTAGTAAGTTTTATTTTGTCACCAATCAGGAAGAATATACGATATTTGTCTCTTTGGGACTGGCTTATTTCACTCAGCATGATGTTTTCCAGATTCCTCCATTTTGTTGCAAATGACCGGATTTCATTTTTTACTGCTTTATAGTATTCTATAGAGTGCATAACCCATAATTTCTTTATCTAGTCTACTGTTGGGCATTTAGGCTGATTCCATGTCTTAGCTATTGTAAATTGAGCTGCAATAAACATGGAGGTGCAGATAGCTCTCTTATTTGCCAATTGAATTTCCTTTGGGTAAATTCCAAGGAGTGGGATGGCTGGGTTGTATGGTAGGGTTATATTCAGGTTTCTGAGGAATCTTCAAACTGTCTTTCACAGTGGCTTTACCAGAGCAAACTACCACTTCTGATACTGTTGGAAGGGTTCCCAAACATAAGAAAAAGAGCAGAAACAAAATGCTCACGTGTTTCCTGAATGGCTCATATAAAGTAAATTCACAATCTCCAGACACAGAAGCAAATTGAGTGCTTGTTGATGGATGAGTGAATAGATAAAATGTGTATACATAAACAATATTATCTGATTTTAAAAATACAAAGAAAGTCCTGCCATTTGCAGCAAAATGGAAAATCTTGGAGGATAGTATGCTAAGTGAAATAAGCCAGACACAGAAAGTACCACCTGATCTCACTTATAAATGAATTCTGAAAAATTCAAATGCCTAGAAACAGAAAAGAAAGATGGTAACCAGGGATCAAGGGGCAGAGGTATGGAAAATGAGAAGATGCTGTTCAAAGGGTATACATTTTTATTTATAATATGACAAAGAGTTGGATACCTAATGCATAGTATATATTAGTGATATATAGTATGTATCACTATGGTTAATAATAATTTAAGTGTACTTGAAATTTACTAAAAGAGTGGATCTTCAATTTTCTCATCTCAAAAGAAAAGAGGTAACTATGTTCAAGTGATGGATATGTTAGTTTGGTAGTATCAATCTTTTATCAATGTGTAGATTAAAAAATATTTATATACCTTAGATATACACTACTTTGTCAATTATCCTTCAGTAAAGCTGAGTTAGATGAAATGGAGTGATTGGGTAAACTGAAACTGACAGCTAGTTATTTATGAGACCAGCATTGTGGCATAGCAGTGTTACACTGCCCCCTGTTACACCAGTGTCCCATATAGTTGCTGCTTCATGTCCCACTTCCAGTTCAGTTCTCTGGCAATGTGCCTGGGAAAGCAAAAGAAGATGACCCAAGTTCTTGTGCCTGTACACAACATGGGAGACCTGGATGGAGTTTCAGGCCTTAGGCTTTAGCCATTTGCAGCCATTTAGTAGGTAAAACAATGATTGGAAGGTTTTTCTTTCTCTGTCTCTCCCTCTCTCTCTGTAGTTCTACTTTCAAATAAATAAATAAACATTTAAGATTTTGAAATGACTAGGTTGGAATGGCTTTGGAAGTAAGGAAAAAAAAAAACCTGTTTTTTGATTCTGTTTCAAGAAAACATTATTTTTGAAAGTATCATAACAGAATTTTGTATATATTTTTATTTATTTATTTATTTATTTTAAATTAAGGTGAAAGAATTTCATATATTGTATACACACAGATACAGGAACACAGTGATACATCCCACCCTAACTTCCCTCCTCCCTGCACTTCCATCTTTCCTCCTCCTTCCTCTCTTAGTCTCTCTCTTAATTTTTGCAATGATCTACTTTCAGTTTACTTTGTGCTAATGGTTAACCCTACAATAAGTGGATAGTTCAACAAATAGTAAGAAAAAAACACTCTTCTTCAACAATATAGATAAAGGTTGTTTGAAACACTATTTTGGTGCCCATGAATCTTCATGACAAATTCTTAAGAAAAACATCATTACCTATGGCCAGTGAAAACAGAATAATTTGTATACTGTGTTAATTTAAAAAGCCATTTAACACTGAAACCAGAAAAAAAAAAAAAAAAAGCCAATTAGATCAAAATATATCTACAGAAAAAATACGGGAGGTTAATGTTACTAGGAATTAAAAATTGTCTCTGGGGCCGGCACCGCGGCTTACTAGGTTAATCCCCCGCCTGCGGCGCCGGCACCCAGGGTTCTAGTACTGGTTGGGGTGCCGGATTCTGTCCCTGTTACTCCTCTTCCAGTCCAGCTCTCTGTTTTGGCCCGGGGAAGGCAGTGGAGGATGGCCCAAGTGCTTGGGCCCTGCACCCGCATGGGAGACCAGGAGGAAGCATCTGGCTCCTGGCTTTGGATTGGCACAGCACGCTGGCCATAGCGACCATTTGGGGGGGGGTGAACCAATGGAAGGAAGACCTTTCGCTCTCTCTCTCTCTGTGTCTAACTCTGCCTGTCAAAAAAAATTGTCTCTGTAGGAAGAACTTTGGTTGTTTTTTCTTTTTTTATAATGAAATCCTACAGCCTTCTAAATTTTATTTAATGTTGTTTAAAATTATAATGGTTAATATTAACAAAATTCAAAAATGGAAGTTTTTTTCTTAAGCATTAATTCTTAATATGGATTATTTGTCAGAGCAAAAGTTACACACTAAAAAATGAACATAAATATGTATATAGTGATGTATCTACTAATAATATGTTGCTATTGTTGTAGTTTTATAGAATAGTATCATATATAACATATTATAGAATAGAATAGTATGGTTCATAGGAAGTAGTTATAAATTCAGCTAAGCTCAGAGAATATGTAACACCAGAAGGGAACCCAGATGTAAACTAAGGACTCTGGATGATAACAGTGTGCCCATGTAAATTTAACAAGTGTTTCCCTCTAGTGAGGCATGTTGATAATGAAAGAGGCTATATATGTGTGCAGAGAGAGACCATATGGGAAACCTTTCTATCTAGTGGTCAATTTTGCTACAAATTTGAAACTACTCTAAATTAATATATAATTTATAGAAGTAAGGAGATCTCTAATTTTTTTAACTTTTAGTAGTATAACAGAGTAATCCAGATTATTTGTTTATTAAAAAATCTACAGTGAGTGTTAAATAATTAACAATACAGTTGAGTGTCAAATCTTGACATTGACCATAGTAAGAATGCTTGTATTTCCAAGTGTACAGTATTTATATTTGGGGGGCTGGCACTATGGCATAGAAGATAAGCCTCTGCCTGAAGTTCAAGCATCTCATATGAGCACCAGTCGTGTTCTAGCTGCTCTACTTCTGATAAAGCTCCTGCTAATACATTTTGGAAAGTAGCAGAAGTTGGCCCAAGTACTTTGGCCCTTTCACCAACATGACATATCCTGAAGATGCTCCTAACTCCTGTCTTCTGACTTTAGACTGGCCCAGCTCTGACATTGCAGTCATTTAAGGAGTAAACCAGCAGATGGAAGATTCTCTTTCCCTGTCTCTCTCTCTCTCTTTCTTTCTCTCTCTCTCTCTCTCTCTCTCTCTCACCTTCTCTCTCTGTATTTCTATCTTTCAAATAAATTTTAAAAATATTTATATTTGGATAAACAATTTCATCTGCTGTAGAAATTTAACAATTCAAGTACTAGCTCCTTATAACAAAAATAGCAACAAGTACACATTTATAAATAAAGAAGTTTATTTCATGTTTAGTACTAATATGAACTATCTGTAAGATACATTATTTATACCTTCCAGCTTACATACAAGAGAACAGAAGCCTGGAGAAATTAAATAAATCCCAAGTGAGTGACAGCTTTAGGACTTCATGCCACAACCTAGACTATGCATTTAATCACTATGTTAAACTATTATATTGACTCAACAATCAGTTATATCTATTATTAATCCTGCTTTCCAAGCCTTTGGTCTTTAATTGTTTTTATAATAAATTAAAATGAAGGAAAAGCTCATAGTGTTCTGAAAACAGTCAAGGGAAACACAAAGCCAACTAATTTATTGTGTAGCTTCTAATTAGCTGTAACTACAATATTTAATAAATGAAACACCTACTTTTAGAGATAATCAAATCTTTTCACTGAACTCCACTAGTGGTATGATGTACACAATAGGCTAATAACAATCAGGAACATTATTCAAATGCTGTCAGGAAATGTTAAAGTATAATCTACTGCCAACCAACCCTGAGCAACTCTGCCTCTGAAATAGATTTAATATGGAACTGGTTATAAGAAAAATGAATTATAAAGTTATCAATAATTTAACTCCAATCACCATAGCATGCCTTGTTCTTACTGAGAACACTCATGTACATACACACAGTTATATTCAGTCATCTGAAACCTTCTTTATGTACAAAATTATTACAGAATTTTTGTGAATACAGAGGGTCAATGAAAGTGCTTCCCATCATGTATCAGACAACTAAGCAACTCTAGGCACTATAATAGCCACCAGTACTATTGAATAAACATAGAGAGTCAGTTAGTTCAGGATCTGATCTCAATATGGGTGAAACATTTGCCATAAAGGTTTAACCTAGTTTTATTTTTAAGGCAATATTTTGAGGAATGTATTCTATTCAGTTTATAGTTTTCTACAGCTCTTTATAAGCTTTAAACTTTGTTTTGTCCTTTTCCCTATTTGTCTGGGTAGAGGGGAAGGAATTTCAAAATACGAGACGATTTTAAAGTTTATTCTTATGCACTGTTCATAAAGAAATGGTAAGAACATTGAGCATCAGATGGATGCAAGACTTTACATCTTGCTTGCCCCCGAGAGGAAAAACAGTGCTGTTTTGTTTTTACTTGAAAATATAAACACTGAAGCATGGAAAATAGTAACAACAAAAAACAGTAAAATTCCCTTTGCTTTACAATATATTAAGAAAAAAATCAGCTACTATGTGGTATCTTCAGATCCTAATAACAAAGTATAGCATTATATTACTGTTATTTTGGCTTTAGGAAAAAGACGGGAAAAAAAAATGAGCAAAAGGAAATGGAGGTGACCAAAGATGCAAGCTGGTTTAAAATTCATTTGCAATAAAAGAATCAAAAGAAAATAGAATGCATGAAAAATCAAGAACATTATACTGCCAAAGATATTATCAATATATGTGTCAGGGTATTCACCTTGTAATTAATGAATTCTCTAAAGAAATAAGGACAATGTGTCTTTACTGATGCTTTAAAGTTAAGATACTCTTCCCCTCCAAGAAAAAAAAATCAGTCAGCATGACTAATGGATCTTTATCTTTCATAGCTATAATGTCAATAGATATAATTTCCTCAAAGCATTAACATATCAGAGTCTAGTTTCTTTGCCTGTTTTCAAATATACCAAAAACTCTGTACTCTACAATGTAGATAGAAGAAATGATATTTTCATTTTAGTTCTTTATGTCTAAGATATAAAAGATTGCAATTTGTCAAGGTCTTTTTGGATATTTATCTTGGCATATCTTTTATGTTCAAAAAATGTGCCTGTTTTGAATTTCCTTTAAAATGTTGCCTAACCAGTAGCTATAAACTCTAACAGTGACAACTATTATCCATTATCCAGCACTTGACATGCCAGCTCAACATCACTATATTAACTGACTTTGGAGTTTTCCCACTCCCTGTGGGGCCCACTCTCCTAAGATTGATGAGGTGCAACAGTATTGAAGCTGCTACCCGGTCCTGAAAAACAGCAGGATCAGTCCTTGCACAGAGAGGAGAAAGGAGAACAAGGGAGGAAGAGAACCGCGGTGCATCCTGGAATGACAGCAGTCTTGTGCACTCGCTTTCCAAGGCAATTAAAACAGTGTTTCTCAGATTTTAGACTTCAGTCAAACATATAACTTCTTTCTTCAATTAAAGTGCCCCAAAGCTGCATTAGTACATATTGCAAATGTAACAATTAGAAAGGGATTAAACTTCTGTCCCTCAGATGTTTTAGAGAAGGCACTTTCTGAGATAAAAGTTGCTGCTCCTTCCAAGTTTAAATACACTAAAACTCTAATCACTTCTTATAATTCCCAAAATGGTGTTATCACTTTCTTTTTAACTATTGAATTCACTCTGGCAGAGCTTGAGTAATAAAACCCATCATATTCTAATTTTCAGACAGCTTGATAGAACCAATGTTCTCACTATAGATAAAGTGTAATGAAGCACTTTCTTTCCCATAGGAAAGTCTTTGACTCATATGCTTTGATGCCAACTAGCCTTCACATCTGCTGCTTCACCATTGATGGCTGTAACTTGGCATGCTGAACTAGTGTCTGATGAAGCAGCTTTACTCAAAGGCACTATTTTATTTTCTGCAATGGGAACATAGTAAAATGGTGTTGGTTTCCTGTAGGCCTTATGCAAATCCCTGTAATAAACATAGGATCAGGCCTCACATACAATAAATTGTGTGTTAGATGAGGAAAGGGGGAGGGAGACAATCTCCTTGGGTAAAAATAACTCGCTTATTATGCAAATAAAACAAATGCAGAAAAGAATTGGTTTAACCGTTTATTTCAAACATGACTTACTTATATCAAAGACATACTAGGTACAAATAAAAATATAACAACACTTTTGAAATACCAATATTATTTCATTAAACAAAATATTACCACTTAATGTTCACAAGCATACATTACCCACAAATAGTATTTCAACACCATCAATAAAAGAAAGATAATCTAGGGGAGTTAGAGAAAATATGTGGCTATTAAGACCTTCATTGAAATGTTTCTTTGAGATTTCTAGAAAAGATGTCTGATGGAAAATGAAGAACACATCAAAATCAACAGATGAAAATTTGAGTAATGATATTAATCACTAATTCACGCTGACTGCTCAGACACATAATATTCAACTACATGAAGCATTTGTGAATTTTGTTTCACTTATGTAAAAGAATGAAGCAGCAAATTATCCACAAATTTCAATAGGTAAAACAAACAAAAAGCTAAAAATTAAATGTATAAACATTTTAAATAATTATAGTTACTTTTAAAGCTAGTAACTTGCAAGCAGATTGATACGAACAGCTTTTGGCTAGAAGTTGAAGCATATCACAGTTTTAATTACCCAAGAACAGAATGTCATGTTTGGGGCATGTTTTTGGTTCAGTTTAGACTTGCAAAGGGATATGGAGGAATTCTCAAGAAACATAAAGAAAGATGTAAATTAGAATTGTATAATGATTTACCCTCATCACATAAAATTGGGGCTATTTTCCCATGGCAGGGAAAGCAGTAGTAGTTCATCAAGCATTACAAAGTATACAATAAGCTCTGCTAAGAAAAGTATGTAAGCCCAAAACTCAAAGATCTTGTTTAAAATCCTATTTACTGCAGACTTAAAGTATAGCCAATTAATGGCATCTCTATAATGTCAACTACCCTTCTTAATGCCAATTAAAGGTCAGTTCTTACTCTACACTCCTTTAGGTAAACACAAAAATCATATTTTCTAAGATTCCAATATGCCTCCTATGGATCATTTTTCTAATTTTCCCTTCCTAGGTTATTAGACCTGACAACAAAGGTTTACAAAGAAAAGGTGTCATTCCCCATGTCCCTCAGAACATAAGTTTTCTTAACTTTTACTCAAGAACAAAAATAAAAGTCAGAATTCACCCCTTGAGAAACAGAAAACTCTTTTTCATCCTGGTATGTGGCAATTCTGTTTTGTTTATTTTTGTCTTGTCTATTGGAGGCCTTTAGGAATACTGTCTGAAATGATGTATCAAATTATTTATTTTTAGGAAGTATGTCAAAAAGTGTAAACACAATTTTAGTAAATAACTGTGAGAAGTAGAAGTGTGGCCAGAAGAATTATAAGTATTTCACACTCATTCTGATCATTTGTGGGTTTCTAAAAACAAACAAAAAAAATCACACACCTAATATGAAAGAAGCAGAAGTAGGTATAGTTATGTATAGCTAGCAATAAGTGAATATAATGCTTAAATTTAAAATTAAATTAGCTCTGTCTGCATAATGTTATCATCATAGATTTCTGAAAAATTAAAGGCTTGGACTCACACCTCAATACTGTGAATTAACTGGCCTGTTGAGGATCGTGGCCCTCAGTATTCTCTAAAAGCTTCCCAAGTAATTCTAATGTTCAAATGTGCAGTTAGGTTGAGAACTCCTGGCTTAAATAGATGGATGTCTCATTTATTTGTTTACTTATCCTTCTAATTGTATTGAGGTATGATTGATTAAAAATGTATATATTTCAGTTATACAGCATGATGTACTTTGATATGTAAGCTTTGTGTAATGATTCCCACAATCAAACTAAAAAACACACCCATCACCTGGCATAGTGATTGCTGCTTATATGTAGGGTGAGGACATAGTAAGCTGTATTCTTTGAAGAAAAATTGAGTGTACAATACAATACTTGTAACTATAATTATCAAGTTATATATTAAATCTCTATTAAATTTCTCTTATAAGTATCTTAAGGATGTTTAAAATTTACTGGATAAGTAAGTTGTAACCTCAAATGGTTACAATAATGAATTGTAAAAAATAATAATATTCCTAACTTTGCCAGGTAATGATCTGGAACTGAGGATAATATAACCTATTAAAATCATATAGTGTATTCACAAATCTTTAATGATCATCTACCTAATATTTCATTTTAAATTGTTGTCCTATTAGCAGAGACAATGTCACTCATGTGACATAAAACTGAAATATAACATTTTGTCCCCTAAATTATTGAAGACAAAAGGTATCCCAATACTAAAGTTAAACTGATGCTAAATAAATAACAGTGACTTGAAACAAATCCGTATGGCAGGGCCAGCGTCACGGCTCACTTGGTTAATCCTCCGCCTGCGGCGCAGGCATCCCATATGGGCACTGGGTTCTAGTCCCGGTTGCTCCTCTTCCAGGACAGTGCTTGGGCCCTGCACCCACATGGGAGACCAGGAGGAGGCACCTGGCTCCTGGCTGCCGATTAGCGCAATGCACCAGCCGTAGCGGCCATTTGGGGGGTGAACCAATGGAAGGAAGACCTTTCTCTCTGTCTCTCTCTCTGTCTATAACTCTACCTGTCAAATAAAAAAAAAAAAAGAAAAAAGAAATAAACCAGTATGGCAAGCTAATATCACCCAAGTAGGGAAACTCTTCTATGAGCAAGTGTTTAATAAATACTGAAATACTATAAAGAGTTTATACTTACTACTTGTTGCAAATTTTATTTGGTGGAGGTTTAACCTTATGATTACAAAGTAATTTGAAAGTATGTCATCTGAAAAATTAAAATAAAAATAAAAGAAGGAGAAAGGAGGGTGGGACCAAGGAAAGAAGAGAGGGAAATCTTACGTTCTTAAAACTGTATATATATGAAATACTTGAAATCTATTCCTTTTATAAAATTAAAAATAATAATGAATTTCTGATTATCATATTTTAATGATTTCTTAGTAATGCACAGTGATTAGAATTCTACAATAGTAAATATGTGAACACTGAAGATGCTATCCATATAATTAAAAATTTTGTTGAAAAAAAAAGAAGGTTTGGACTCCCACCTCAATATTCTGAATTAACTGGCCTGCTGAGGATCCTGGGCCTCAGTATTCTCTAAAAGCTTCCCAAAGAATTCTAATACTCAAATATGCAGTCAGGTTGAGAATTCAAAAGTAATATTTTTAAAATTTTTACATTATTTGGGAGAGAGCTTTCTTCCCCTGGTCTACTATACAAACATTTGGGAACTCTTAAGGTCTCCCAGGAGTGGCAGGGGCCCAAATTACTTGAGCCAGCACTCAGGAGGCAGGTGCTCAGGATGGGAGCTGATCAGGCCAGAACTAGAAGCCTCCGTAATCACTGCAACAAATGACTGCCCACCAAAATAACTCAGATGATCTTCCTCAGCTTTCAAAATCATTTTAAGTTAGTTTTTCACAAATGCACTACCACCACTGCATGAAATAAAAACAGTAAACTAAAATTACTTCTGCAGATATTAAAACATATGTGCAGTGCCTAATGAATGTTATATGTTTTTCAATCTATTTGTTAAGTATGTATAGTAAACCATCAGCTGTTTACATTCTAGCCCTGAGTTGAAAAATGACTGATGTTCTTCAAGCGTTTAGCAAGCCAAATCACTTTAGTTCTCAAAACAAAAAGTCACCACAAGCAAACCATGCAAGCAATTAGGCTTCAAGATCTATACTATTACCCAAGCATAATTTAATTTGAGAAGATCCATTGAGCTAGTAAGATCAGAACAAGTGGCAGGTTATAAAGAATATGTCATAGCTGTATCTACCCAATTGTTTGTGGCAAATGTTTCAGAAAGTCAATATGATCAAGTATTTGGATCCATGTGGGTGAGCCAAAATGACTAATGCCCTTAGTTCTGAGTAAAGATGGTTATGTTACAATATTTTTGGTTACTACTTCTATTGTGATATTGTGAGTTCCTAGGTTATGTCTGTCATAACTCATACGTCACTTAAACTCTCTGTGGCCCAGTTTCCACATCTGCTGAAAGTGCATAATGATAATTGCTTCCTACTTTCCTTACATGTTGCTGTGAAGATTAGGGAGCTGATGTTTAGAGTGTACTTTGAGTTCTCCTAAGGTGGATAAATTTACACAGGAAAGAAAAGACAAAAAGACAGAAAATGAGGGGGGAGGGGAGAGAAAGGAAAAGAAAGAAAAGAGGCAGTGGAACAGGAGGGAGAAAAGGAGGCAGAAGAGATGGAAGGAAGGAAGGAAGGAAGGGAGGAAGGGAGGGAGGGAGGAAGGAAGGGAGGCCCTTTGGCTTCTAGGTATTAAATAATAAAAGTTTTTGCTCCACATGGAGAAATCCACATGTTTTCATTCCTAACTTCACCAAATTTCTGAATGAATTGACTTCTGGGAATACTGTACAGGGCTCCATAATTTGAAGAAATCTTTTTACCCCTCTAGAGAACAAAAGAAATTTTTCTACCAAAACCTTAAAACCTCTGTCATAAGATTTCCGTCAATGAATGAAGCATTCTTTTAGTCAATGGGTAACCATACAGGATTCAGTAAATTCAGTGAAATGGTGGCATACAGAAAAACTAAATATGCATTGTGTTGATTTGGTGAACAAAAAGCAGCTGACAATGGAAACAATGGGGAGAGCTGAGAAAATGTGAATCTGTGAATGTAAGTGAAAATAACATTTTAAGTGTGCTTTATGATAGAATATTACTAATAGAGTGTTACTATAATAGAATATCACCATTAAGTTTTAGGCTTAAGCCAAAGAGATATTCAAACAAATGATAAAATGGCTAAAGTAGCAGCTGGTTAGTTTCAGGTACATATGATAAAACAGTAAAATAAAGAAATATTATTAATAACAAAAACAATGATAAAAGGCAAAAGGAAAGTGAGAAGACAAGGAGGAGAGGCAAGAAGGAAAGGAGGAGAAGGAAAAAAATCTGAAGAGTTAACAAACAGATTTCCAAGTGATGTAGAGTGCTAAAACTTTTATGATTGAGTAATAAGTATTTCTAAACCTCAATGTCTTAAATCAGTGCAATTTCTTAAAAGTGTCTGAACATGGCCTCAGCCACTACTAATGATGTTACCTTGAAATATTTTCTTAAAAAAAAAAACAGATTTATTTATTTGAAAGGCAGTGACAAAACAGAGAGAGGAAGGGAGAGAATTCTTTGATCCACTGTTTTACTCTCCAAATATACAAGAGCTGGAGAGTGTGCCAGACCAAGACCAGAACCCAAGAACAACATCCTGGTCTCCTGAGTAGTAGGGAGTTGGGTATTTAGGCCATTGTCTGCTGCCATCCAAGTGCATTCACAGGAAGCTGGATCAGAAGCAGAGGTTCAATGTGATTCCAGGCACTCCGATATAGAATGCAGGCATTCCAAGCTGCACTTAATCCCTTGGTCAAAATGCCCACTGTGAGAGGATATCTTAAAAAAAACTCCAAAAAAATAAGGCAATGTGTTGTAGACTTTCTATTCTTAACTAAATACTTCTAGCCAAAAGTAGCAAAGCTTAAGTCAAAATAAAGTCAAATAATAGGTAACAGAATAGGTAACAGAAAAAAAGTCAAATAGGTAATAAAGTGAAATAACAGGTAACAGGAGCGGCTTTAGGATATAAACAAACTTGGCTCAAAACATTTAAAGGTCACAGAGATTTAGCAGAAATTGTATTGGCCAAAATATTGTCACCTGTTATAAAAGCAGGTAAGTCTACTTGAAATGTATGGGCTCTGGGTTCCTAAGTTTCTAGGAAGACAGTTGACTTGTAAAGTAAATAATGATTTGACTAATTGTAGAGCAATATTATTGTGGCAACTGATAACCAACATAAGCCCAAGACATTGCAAATTCAGTGCTAGAAATTAAAGAAAAAAGTAAATGATATAGACTTACTAAACCCCTGTCCTCATGCTTTGCAATGTAGTATAAAGACATAGAAGTACCAAGAAAATATATCTTGGAGCAATAATTTAATGATAACTGAAGTAACAAAAAAGGATGCTTAAGGAACACAAAAATGGAAGCACATGTTTGGCATAGTGGTTAAATCTCCCCATGCTGCAGTGCCTGTGTTCAACTCCTGGCTCCACTCTCCATTCCAGATTCCTGCTAACATATACCCGGGAAGGAAGCAAGTGATTGATGGCTTATGTAGTTGAGTCCCTGACACCCATGCAGGAGACGTGACTGGAGTTTGTGGCCCCTGGTTTTGGCCTGGCTAGCCCTAGCTGTTATATTTAGGGAGTAAACTAGTAGATGGAAAATCAATTTCTTTCTCTCTTTATCTCTCTCCTTCTCAAATACATAAATAAATAATAACATGAATAATTTTAAAAAGAATACAGAAGTAGAGCACCTCAACTAGACTGGTTAGATTTGGGTATGAAAAAAATTCAGGAACGTTTCTCTGGAATAAGCAAAGTATTAATTATGATCTAAGCAATAAAGAATGTAAGCGATTAGGTGATTACAGAAGGATGGGGATGAAAAAAGAGCATGCATTGTGGAGGGAGGTACATGAATACAGCAAATGACATAGGACTCAACACAAACAAGTTTGACTAGAGATTAGAGTGAGGAACAATGAACAAAAGATGAGAAAAAGGCTGAATACAATGGGCTTTGTGGTGTGAAAGGAGATAAGTTCTAAAGGCAAATAGGAGGGGATAATTTTAGAAGACTCTAAGTCATTCTAGTAACAGTATGGAGAATAATAGGGGCAAAACCAGGAAAATAAAAAGTTAAATTTTTACTGAAAAACCAAGGACAATAAAAACATCAGTCCAAACCACGATAGTTGTGAAGAAAATAGAGGAGATACACAGGAGACTGGATGGACAGGAGTTGGGATGTGCTTTTAGATAAAGGCTACATGTCTAAGAGTCACCATAATTTCTGCTACATAAAAGGTCTCCCAAAAGTATTCATTAAATGAAAACATAATTTCTTATTACTGAACATACACATCATATGATTGAGAATATAAGATTCCTGGTGACATTGGCTAAAATATGACATAATAATCATTAGATTAAAAAATGGTTAAAATTAAGTGTGAACTTTTTATATTAAATACTTTTCAAAGACTTATTATACACTTCCAAAAGAATTGCTAATTGTACCTCGGTATGCCATAATTTCAAAATACACGGTCAACAAAATAGTTTCTAAAAATTGATTCACACATTTTTAAAAAGTTATCAAATTAGTTGTCTTTTATGACCATAATAATACAAAGAGTGAAGCAACTTAATTTATATAAATAGAATGTGATCTCTTTCTATATATATTTTAAAATTACCTGGTTGTGGGTGTGTCAAGGAAATATAATTTATTTGACCAGATTTAAAATCATTCTCAATCATGAATTTTAAAAATTAGCCTCATACTATAGTCATGCTGATATAGAACATCTACCAGGATTTTTACTAGTCACTTGCCATGCCATGCAAAGCCTCCATTTAGTATTTACAAGGCACAGTGCTTTGTAGGGATAGTCATTCCAATTTAGAGATAACAGAAGTTTAGAGGGGAGGGGAGTCATTTAGGGGAAAGGGTAGTGTTATAGGTAGTTGGTGGTAGGAACAGAATTACACTCAGGTTTCTCTGATTCTACAGATTTTTTTCACTTCTAACAACTATTCTGAATGCAGACTCTGATTTTTAAAGAATTAAGGTTATTTCCATTCAAAATTTGCTATTGTCTGTACTTATTTTTAATATATTCTAATATTTTACCTAATAGCTGTCTTCCTTAAGATGCACTACATTAATATATGTGGCCAAGTCAGAAATTTCAGATAGGCCAAATCTAAGCAGGGGATTTGTGGAAACTGAAAAACCTGAATCATAATTTACATAGACACAGGGTTATGTAGAATCTTGTTGTAAACCATATGAAATCACTTCAAAAATACAGAGATTCCGAAAAAAGGACATGACAGCTCCAACCTACAGCATAGTTATTTTTGATGCTGTAATCTGTATATATTCATTCATTTTCCTACTCTTCACACTTCAGAGAGAAAAGAATGTGAATGTTGCTTAGTAACATTTTGCATAATGTTAAGCCCTGGGATATGATTGGGCAGCTCTAGGACACCAAATTCCCAGAACCCAAAGAGATGTTTTGAATCCTCCCTTAATAGTTTTCAATAAAATCTCTGAATTCTCATCTATTTCATTATCCAAATTTGATTAAGAACATTTTGGTGATTCCAGTAGTTTTCTGTGGTTTACAAGCATAACCCTTGAAAACCAGTATCTCCCTGATTTTGAATAATTTTGCCAGTTGCAGCTTTAAATTTTCCCAGAAGAATGTGTGTGGAGTATAAGAGATATAGAAGAAAAGATTGAAGATCTCTTCTTTTAGACAATATGCTCACACTTGCACACTCAATGAACAAAATCAAGCATGGTCATTGGAAATGGAAGTATCCAGTGTTGTAAAACAGCTATGGAACCCTGCCTATATCTGCAAGACTGATGTTTCACCCTCTGCAAGGCCAGATTCTTGAGCCAGCCACTCTTGTTTGTAGTAAAAAGAATTATATCATTCTTTAAAATACTTTTCTGGAACTGAGCATTCCAAAAACAATTGCTTAACAGCAGAATCTTGTTAAATTAGTAAAAACAAAATGGAAATTCCTTTAGAAGTCAATGCCTAAGGGTGCTTCCTAGAGCTTTTGTAGGTGCACCTATTAATTAAAAATAAAAGAATGTTATCAAATATAAATATCCTACCCACAACTCACTGTGGAGTTTAAAAATGAACATGCATTGTTTTGCATTCTAGATTGCTAAAGATTTTTAAAATTTTTCATACTATGGTTCATATAACTATATAGTTTAATGAGTTAATCTTTGAAGTATACATTGAAATACTTAAAAGAAAAGTCAACATTTAATATATCCTCTCAAGTTTTAATAATTTTTTCTGAATTTCAACAATAGAAATTCAGTATGTGATTAAATTAGCAATATGAGGTCACTCTCAATTTAGTAGTTATCACTGTGCAGTTTTTATTGTGACTAGTGTACTTTTAAGAAGGCTTCACTTCTAAAAAAGTCTGTACTGTTGGAAACACAAAGTTACTTCATGTCAAATTTCTCCAAAGCTATAGGCACCCTTGTGTGCAAGAGACCAAACAAGAAATGAAAGAATAAGAAAAGTCAATAGCAAGGAAAAGTGAAGGTAGGCGAAAATCACACAACAGAGAGCAGCTGAGATAAAAGATAAGAAAGAACAAAAGATTGGAAAGACAAAAAAGAAAAACATAGTATAAATAGAAGTTTGGAATTGATTTTCCAGAGATAAAGTTTGCTCAATATACATTACTGCTTTGAAAGAAGATATTTGAGTTCTCTGGAAAAAAATGAAATTAAAAACTGGGAACACTTGTGAAGTACAAATGAACACTTCTGGTGACAAATTACTATACTTAGTTCTTTATTTACTGATTTTATAAACTGAAAGTCTCTTGGATACTGTATTTAAGTTTTTTCACAAATTTACTCCCTACAAACTTCTTGACACTAACAAAGTTTATTTAGCAATTTCAGCACCTGATTTAAAAAAAAAATGAAAACACTCAAGGAATAATTTTATAAGAAAGAAAGACTCTAATAATTCTAAATATTCAATTAGGAAAATTAATATAGTCTAACAGAGCTATACTGAATAAACTGTTTTGTGTTTGGATGTCAACAAATTTGATTAAATAATAATAATAATTTTCTAAGTAAGTGTAAAGTATGAATCTACTGTTCATTCTAGCTATTCACTTTTTAGACAATTAAATTTTTTTAAATATGGATTTGACTACTCAATTCTAAATCATTCTTCACGATTTGATGTCCTCCAAAACTGTATTTGTAAAAAAAAATTATTTTCATAAGAATGTTATAAAAGAAAATTATATAATTTGGCAAAGTTGCTGCTTTAAGTCACAGAAATCTCAGTTCTATAATTGATGATTTATTCTTCTGATTCCAACTAAATCATAATCTTCTTGATTGAGAACTAGATCTCTTTGGCTATAGGATACCCATTAAACTGTGCAGTTTCTGGTGTTCAATAGGCACTTGAACCATGCTCAATACAAGAGTCTCTTTTATAACTTGAGGCAATAATTTTATAAAAAAGATAAAAAGATTACCATGTCTACTGTATATTTGAACTGTCAATTGCATTTGTATGAACTGTGACAGGAAATACCAATGCTTACAAATGTGATCAGCCTACAAAGAATGTAAAAATATTTGACAAAATATAAAAAAAATTATCAAAAGATACTGACTCCTTTTTAAAGTAGAATCTCCCCTCCTGGTCTGCTTTAGCCCAGGGAGATAAGCCAGAGTAGAAGAGAAAAGTAAAAAAAAAAAGAGGGAAAGGCACCATGTACCAGAAGCATGCCTCCCATGTAAATGTTCAATGGGGAACATTTCCTCTGGAAACCACTGTGAGTTCAAATGAGCAGCCCATTTCAGACTCTGTGCCTCACACAACATTACACAGAGTTCAGGGATAAAGGCAGTTTCTTTAGCTGTTACACTCTGCCTCATTTTAACAGAAGGAAATGGATGTTTAGGAAGCATTCTTTTTTTTTTTAACTTTTATTTAATGAATATAAATTTCCAAAGTACAGCTTATGAATTACAATGGCTCCCCCCTTCCAATAACTTCCCTCCCACCGGCAACCCTCCCCTCTCTTGCTTCCTCTCCCCTTTCATTCACATCAAGATTCATTTTCAATTCTCTTTATATGCAGAAAGGAAGCATTCTTAAAAATGATTATTCTATTCTTCTGGAATAACTGTGCCTGGTGGAGTCTGAATCTACTGCTATTCAGTTTCAGTATACATTTTTTTTCCATTCGAAGATAAAAACCTTACAGAAAAAACAAAAAGTACATTACCTTTGGGCAGTTTCTCCAATTTGACTTCATGGCCATATATTTAGTTGTACACCTTTCCGCATCTTGATGTATATGCTGTTAATGTTACTGTACAAGCAATAGTATTGCTAAGTGCTGACACTCATCAGTAAAGAAAGATGTGTTTGAACTATAACATTTTAATATTTAAATTTTAGGCAACCATCAGGGCTTACCTTGAAAAAGGTCATGGTGGCTCCATCCTCTACAGCCCCATACTCTATCTTTGTTTGTTTAGCTAAATCATCAGCAGAATCAATAGGGGATTCCATGCGTTCCACTGTCAGAAAGGCGGCTAAGTTAGCAGTATACGAAGAAATGATGATAAGTGTGAAAAACCACCAAATGCCTCCCACTATCCTGGTGGACAGCGCTTTGGGCATGAGCTCAGAACCTAACAGAGATTGGGGGAAAGGTGAAACGAATATAGAGAATTTGATCAGCAATCAGATACTTTTGGTCATGGTGGCAGGCTGGAATCACTTTGCCATAACAGCTTAACCCATAGATTTACATATTACCCTAGAAAGCAAGCCACAACCATTGGGAGAGCATAAGTTAATTTCAAAAAACAATCTCTTCAGATACTTGTATAAAAAAATATAGTGACAGAAGACTCAAGATCTACCTGAGATGGGGCAATGTATCAATTAAAAAATTAAGAATTGAAAATTCATTTTTAAAATAGCATCATAAGAAAGGGGTAAAAAAAACCCGCAAGTTCAGAAACCACATGCAGAGTTTTAGACATTATTGTTAGTTATGTAGGTTTCAGAAGACACAATTTAACATACATTCAGATTGATCTCTTAACAAACTTTGTAGTTTCATTTGCCAGATGCATGTAGGTCAAATATACTATCTTGCCATTTTAAAAAGTAATGCATAATGGAAAAATAATTTCAATTACACAAATTTCTTGAAATGAATGGGGTTTTAGACCAGCATTTATTTTAAAGTAAGGGAATAAATAATTACCTTGTGTATAGGAAATATCTCCCATCACTATGGTAACCCTCCATGAGGGAAATTAGAATAAGAATAAATGAATTGCCACAAGTG